TAGGCTATAGTGTCTGGGAATACACACAGAGAGCCAGACCCTAAAAAGCAGTGAAGCAATGATGAAAAAAGAGAGTGTAGTTAACGTGGGGCGGGATAGTGGTAGTTATGGTCAGGAAAGGGCACAGCAGGGCTTCTGGGGTCCTGGCTGGTAATTACTAGAGTATTTATTTTATCATTTATTTGTTAGCTGGACATTTTTAGTCTTAGTCTCTGCACTTTTGTTTGTGCACAGCACGCTGTACCAGGGATCGAACCCGGGTCCTTGTGCTTGCCAAGCAGGTGTGTAGACTGCCTAGCTATCTCCCTGGCCTGAGCTGGGCCTCTTGGTGCTGGTGGTGGGGCTGCCTGGCAGGCTCTGCCCATCCGGCTCTGTCTGGGCTGAGACACGGGGCCTCCATGATGCTGTGCACTCAGCTAAGGGATTGGATTCCCTTATCTCACGGGGGTCAGTCCCCTGTGGCGGGGCCTAATGTGAGAGCAGCAGACCTCAAGTAATGACTCGCCTGATAGGAATCAGTCCAGCTCCCAGAGGCATTTAGTCTCTGCCAGCCTCAGCGGCTTCCCCGGCAGCAGTGGCGCGGCAGTGGCCCGAGCCAGAGAACCAGGGGCTGGCTGGTCTGATGGGGAGGTGGGCCCTGGGCCACAGAAGCCCCGGATGCCCTGCTGTGCCAGGAGAGGCAGGGGGTGGAGAGACATCCTGATTCAGGAGCACAGGCTCCGCCCTCCAGGCTCAGAGGAAGAGGGATGCCCTGGCCCTCAGGGTCAGTCTCTAGCTAGGCACAGTCATGCCGGCCTGGGTGTGGTGGTTACTGCCTCGGTCCCCTATCCCTACAGAGCTGCACCCTGACACACATTTTTCTTGTCAAGTGTGGGTCTGGGACACCTGCCTGTGGCTGTGCAAGCTTGCAGGGCTGGAGAGGTGTGTGCTCACCTCTACAGGAAGAGAGGGAAGGTGGGAGGGCCTTCCTCTGCAGGAGGCCTGGCTGGAGGAGGGCTGAGGTGAGTGGACACCCTGAGTGGGCAGACAACAGCAGACCATGGGAGTCTGTCTTCAGTGAGAAGCTTGAGGGGTGCTGGGCCTGTGGGGTGCTTGAGAGGGCAAACAGACCAACACACACATGTGGCCTTGCTCTTGGCTTTTTTTTTGGTGGAGCCGGGGCTTGAACTCAGGCTCTTGTGCTTGACAGGGAAGCACTTATTCAACTGAGCTATCTCCCCATCCCTGTGGCCTTGCTCTTGAGAGGCCTCACTCACTCTGTGGGAAGCGAGGTGGGTTGTCGTTGACATCGGTGACCACAATGGTGACGGTGGTGGAGCCTGACAGGCCACCCAGCTGCCCCGCCATGTCTGTGGCCTGAATCACCACCTCGTAGCGCTCCTGGCTCTCCCGGTCAAGGTCAGGCACAGCGGTCCGGATCACGCCTGTGGGTGAGAAGGGATAAGGGTGGGCAGGTGGAGGGGTTTGGGGAGTTGAGGGAGGATAGGAGAGTAAGGGACAAGAAACCTGCCCCTGAGCCCAGCCTCTGAGGGGACCCGACACCCCTGCCGAGCTGCAGGCTGGCTGGCTCGAGCTGGGGAGGAGGTGGATGATGCAGAAGACACTGCGTCATGGTCTGATAGAGCCCAGTGGTCACCAGATGCTCATGGCGGTCACTCACAGAGGTGACCCACACATGCCTGTGCACATGCGTGTACTCACACTCAGATGCACTCTTCGGTGCACACATGCAGTTCACACTCCTATTCATGCATGTACACACTCACATAACTGTCACACACCCTGCCAAGCATGCAGCCCCTCCCACACACACCCAGGACACTCACGCACAGAGTGGTGCCCACTGTCACACGCTGGCGCGTGTGCTCTCATACACACCCTCACAGACACGGACACAGCACAACAAGAGGAAGGACCAGCTAAAGGCTTACTAAGAAGAGGCCCGGGCAGTGAAACTTGGCACTGCGTGGCTCTGGGAGAGCCTGGCCTCTGTGGGATATGTCCCCGTCAGTAACAGTGTAGAGTAGGGTACGCAGTGGCAGCCCAGGGAGTGTCTGGTGAAGTGCACAGACGCACTTCCACACTCAGGTATGCTTGCCACAGTGTCACACTCATCTACCCATGATGTAGCCCACACACTTGCAGTCTACATGCAGAAGAACACACACAAAGGCACGCGCATGCGCACGTGCACGCTCAGCTGCCACCACACCTTCTTCTCCACTTGCCTCCCTCTCTATGATCGAATCATTCCCCAGCCTGGGACCCTCCCTGGCCCTTCCATGGCCCTGGGTCCTCGTCCAGGCACCTGCTAATCCAGGAAGAGACAGTCCTCCTAATGGCTGCTAATGGGAGTGGGGGTGGGGGCAGAACGGTGTGACTGCATGATTCATTCTGCCCAGGGAAGGGCAGGCTTCTTGTCTCTCTGCCAGAGGAAGAGAGTCAAGAGGGGAGGGGAAGTAGACAAGGTGTCCAGAGCCTCTCCCAACACCCACTCCAACCTGCCGAGCGCCAGGTGGTGACAGGTGGTGACCTGGGCCTGGACGCCAGGAGAAGTCATGCACCAGTAGCCCCATCATGCGCCCCATAAAGCCGAAGCTCCAAATCCCAGTGTCCCCAAAGAGTCCTTGGATTCCAATAAAGTTGATGGAACAGGAGGAGAGGCAGTAGTGTGTGTGTGTGTGTGTGTGTGTGTGTGTGTGTGTCTCAGGGGGCCCTAGGAGATTCATGGTCCTGCTTTGGGGGATCACATGGAGACACAGAACAAGCATTCTGTCTAATCCAGGGTCACATGGGTCCCCATCCATAGTCTTTTGGGGCTCCGCAGCAGGGACCCCTGTGCTCTACCCCATGCCATGGCTAGTTTTCTCACAGATGAAGGAGTGTGCAAAGCAAACTGCCTTGATTTCTTCCCCCCACACACAGTGTTTCACTATGTAGCCAAGCTGGCTTAGAACTCGCTTCTCAGCCTCCTGCGTGCTGGGATTACAGGCATGTGCTACCATGCCTGGCCCAGCAGACTGCTTTGAGATAAATCCTAGAGCTATCTTTTTTTTTTTTTTTTTCTTTTTTTTCCTGGCTATGTGATTTTGGAAAATATATCTTTATCCCTCTGAATCTCAGTTTCCTCATCTGTAAAATGAGGACAACCATAATACCTACTTAAAGAACAAGATTTTTCAAACTTGTTACAGGTAACACTTTGGGCAGTGTCATATTCTGGGGTGTGCGCGGCACGTGTGTGTCTGTGTGTGTGTATGTCATGTGCATATGTGCACATGTACATGTGTATGCACGTGTGCGTGCATGTGTGTGTGCGTGTTGGGGGCTGTTCCAAACATTTTTAGCCTCTATACTACAGGACAGTACATTCTGTACCCTGGGTTCCAAAAATGCCTCTAGACATTGCCAGATGGACCCTGGAGTGCAACTGCTTGACAATCAGCTAGAAAAACCACATATGATAATCACAATAACGAACATTTCTGTACACTTACTTGGTGCCTGACTTCATTCCAAGCACCTTAGGTGAACTGCTTCATTTAATCTTCTTAACTCCCAGTGTGAGGGAGGTCTGTGACTCAACCCATTTTATAGGTGAGGAGACAGTGGCATGGAGGGTCCAGGCACCTTGGGCAAGGCCACACACTAGAAAGCACCCAACCAGAGTTCAAAGAGGCACTCCAGCGTTAGAGTCCACATTCGGCTCTGCCCACAGGACCCAGTGA